GGGAGTTTGAATCTGCACGAGAAAGTTCACCTCCTCCCTCTCCAGCTGCAGTTCAGCATTCCCTTCCACTGCGACTGCCGGCAGCAGACCGCCGTGGCGTGGGCACAATCCGGGAGGACACGGCCCGGTGCTGCCCGCACCCGGCTCTGCCTGCAGTCACCGGCTGTCGGTGGTGACGAAGGACTGGCGACCTCTCTTACCTTCCCGTCTCTCCACGCGTGTCCCGTGGGTTCTGTTTCATGCCCTTCAGCAGCCGAGACGAGGTCTGCGGCCCCTCCCCAGCGCACAGGAGCCCCGCAGAGAAGCCCGGCGCCACCAGGAGGCCTCCGCCCGCCCGGCCCTGCGGGGCGGCCGCGCTCCCTGTCCTCCAGGAGCTCGCTCACGTCGGCCGTGCGCTCCTCGGGGCCAGAGCCCGCGTCCGCCTCAGCGCTCGCCGGGCCCACGATGCCGCACGGAGTCCCCCTGCCCCGGGGACGCGGCTGTGCTTCCATCGGAGCTTGTGGGGTCCTCACTGCAGCAGCCTCCTGGGTTGCTGGTGCGCAAGTTCTCAAGCTGTTTTTGTTTGCATGAGGACACTGCAGCCAGTGTGGGGGGAGCTGGCTGCTGTTCCTCAAGGCGGCAGCCCAGGCAGGGCACACCCGTTGGCCTGGCCTGGGGTTTTGGCTCAGGGAAGAAGGCTGGGGAGTTCAGCCTTCAGGGACCGTGACTGTGGGTACCTGCCTTCTCTGTGTCGTCAACAGGGATGCATCGGAGTGTGTGCTGTGCGGCTCCGGTCTTGAAAGGGGCAACGGACCCTGGTGGGGGCCTGGGCCCCGGCTCTGCAGGTCTAGCGCCAGGAAGCTGGGTGCAGGGCCTGAGTGGCACATCTCCTTACTGCGAAATAAAGGGTTTTGGACCAGAGGGTCGCCTGTTCGATTCCCAGTTAGGGCACAGGTCTGGGTTGTGGGCCAGGTCCCCAGAAAGGGGTGCTGCACGTCAATGTTTCTCTCTCTCTCTGCTCTTTTTCTTTCAAAGTAAATAAAATCTTAAAAAGAGATCGTGGGAAATACTCTGCCTTTTGTTCTGGGTTGATTTTAGAAAAGGTAATTTACTACCATGCATTACCATTTCAAGTTTTAAAAATTGGGGTCTTAAGTCTGGTCACCGTTGAGCCTCTGGCATGTGCGGGAGGACACCTCGGCTTCGGGACAGGAGGATGGAGGCTTCTCGGCTGGAAAGGTATGGGGCTGGCTTTGGGCCACCGAGACCTGAAGGATCAGCGGGCAGCAGCCTAAGGCACTGTGACTTGTGAGGGGCTTCTGGCCAGCAGCTGCCCTTGGGACTGTCCGCTTGTGCAAACAGGGCAGAGCCTGCAGCTGCGCCACCCCCACCAGCGGCCCCTGTCCCACTCACTTCCCTTCCCCAAACCCGGCCCTCGCCCCGAGTGCGGCTGGTTTGCCGGTTCAGTTGTCAACATGCACTTCCCAGCCCACTGACAGTGCGGGGTGGTTGGTGGGTGGGTTTTGCCTGGGCTTAGGGGGGTGGTGGGGGGAGGGGCTCCACCTGGAAACCCAGGTGCTATGGCCGGCCAGCTCTCGGCCTCCCTCTGCTGGGGTCCTGCCGTCCAACCAGTGGCATCTGGCAAGGACCAGGCAGGTCGGTGGTGGCACAACAGGTCCGGCCCTCCGGGGCACGGCCTGAGCGCAGCCACCTGTGCTGCTGCTGTGGCCAGCCCTGTGTCCGTCGGAGCACCCGCTGCCTCCTGGTGTGCTTGCAGCGTGTCCGACCTGCAACCCAGCACAGTCGAGAGTTTGCAGAAAACTCGTGTTTTTGTGGTTGTGTGTCACAGTGTATTAATGTGGCCCAAGACAGCTGTCCTTTCAGTGTGGCTGAGACGCCCGATGGTTGGACTCCCCTGTAAACTGAAGGAGCGGGAGTGACCCCAGACCATCTCCTGACCCTTAGTGTGGTGCTGCCCGAGGAGAGCTGAGCCCTGCCGCCCCGCCCCCTGGCCCTGGCCCTCTGCCAGCAGCAGGCTTGGGCAGTGGCTCCGCTTCCCCTCGGAGCTTCTGAGCCCTCTGACCCCCTGCCAAGGCTCAGGCCGAGGACCTGGTGGGCGGGCACCGGGCGGTGGGGTGGCCTGAGAGAGCGGCCCAGCACACGTGTGTGTGCCTGGGGACGGCCTCCAGAGTTTGGGTCACTGTGGGGTCAGGGTTAATTCTTGGTCTCTGCCTCCTGCCGGAGTTGTTTCCATGCCACACTCCGGAAAGGGAGTGCTAGCAACTCGGAGGGGCTGTCACACTGCCACACAGACAGGCAGAGAGTCCCTCCTGTGCTGGGGCCCAGAGCTGCCCCGGGGCCTGCCTCCTCCCCCCCTACCTCCCTGTGGGCCTCCCTGCAGACCCCACCAGGGAAACCGTTCCCGTGCCTTAGGAGCTCGTTCTGAGTGTCGAGTCTCCAAGGGGGACGTTCCGGAGGGTTTGGTGGTGCGCCTTAGCTCTCCAAAGCCGGATATGGGCCAGCTCAGTGGCCCATATGGGCCGGATATGGTCCTGGGGGGGGTGTCCACACTCTCGGCCACCGCGGGGCTGCCCCAGCAAGCCTCCCCTTGCCGGCGGATGGCCGAGTTCGGCCGGCTGGGGGCAGCAGCCTCGCCCCTGGGCCCTCAGCAGGCAGCCCTTCTGCCCGGGCTTCCAGGGCGTCCAGGGCCACAGCCTCCTCCCCCCCCCCACCCCCGGCGCTCCACGGGAAGGCCGGCGTCCTGTTGCCTCTCCGTGGGACGCAAGGGGCCCTTTCTTTGCAGCACAGAGCCGCCGCTGACCCTCGCTCGGCCAGTGGCGGTGGCTGGATGCCTGTGTCTGGGCGGGGCTGGGGGGCGGGGCTGACCCCCAGCAGCACTTCCTCCAGCCCCGAGGCTCAGGGCAGCTGGACGGACCGTTCAGCCGGATGCCCCACACGCCCTGTCAACTCGCCAACAGCGCCACCCGAAGGGAAGGCACGCCCTGCGAGCGTGGGTGTGGGTCAGACCTCGGGCAGCCGGGTGGGAGGGGTAGCACCCCCGCCCCCGCTGAGTGAGTGGAGTGCGCGCCGTCTCGTCGGGCAGAAAGCCCGCCTGGCCTGCCCGGAGCCCCCAGGCCAACCCCCGGGGGCCACACCAGGGGCCATCTCTGAAAGGGGAGAGGGGAGGGGGTGGGAGGCGCGTCTGGCACCGTGGGCGGCCCTGTCCCGTCCCTGCCCTTCCTGGGCCAGCCCTGGCCTCCCCTGGGCAGGGCCGCAGGCACAGGCTGCCCGGTGCACAGACCTGGCCCAGCCCGGCGTGTGGCGGGCGCACCCCCTCCCTGTGCCCCTCGGTCGGGCTGCGCTCTGCCCGTGGCTGCCGGCCAGCGTGGGCGCCGGCACGGGCCCCCGTGCTCTGCGCGTGCCCTCGAACTCAGGCCTCCCTGTGAGAGCGCGTCGCACACTGGGCGTCCCGTCCCCAGAGGCCAGGAGAGGGCTCGGGGTGGGAGCCCCTGCCCTCTTGTTCTGCAGACCTGCCTCCTCCCCACCGTGCGCCTGCGGGCTACCCTGGGGAACGGGCCGGCCACAGGGGTCTGTGGGGCGGACATGGCAGGTGCCCTGGGCCAGCAAGGTCCACCCGTCCCTGCCCCGTGCGGCTTTCTTAAGACCCCTCCTCCCTCCCACCCGGGCCCACGCAGGCGGCGTCATCTGCCTCCTTCCCGCTGCCCTGCCTGGGCCTGCCCCAGGGCCCTGGGCCTGCCGGCGCGTAGGGAGCCCCGGGAGTAGCCGTGGCACCCCTCTAGAGCAAGACCTGACCGGGCCCGTCCGGGTGGTGGCCGGCGGCAGAGACCTGCTCTAGGGCAGCTGGGGTCCTAGAGGCTCCCCCTCACGGGGCTGGTGTCCCCCACCCCCAGGCCTCTGAACCTGCCCCCTCCCTTGGAGTTGGTGTTGCCAGGAGGGCCCAGGCCGCCCCTGCCCAGCCCTGACCCTTCGTCAGGACCTTGGCCAAGCAGCAGGGTGTCCCCTGCCGGCTGCAGGGGGGTTGCCTGCGCCTCCCACAGCCGGGCTGACGGCCGTGGGCACTCGGGCTCTGTCTGGGGCCGTGGCACGCCCCCGTCTAGCACAAGCACCCCACGAGCCTCTGGCGGCAGCTGAGGGTTCTGCCTGCACAGCAAGTGGGGGACCGTGGCCACTGTGTCCCAGGCCCGTCTGGAAGCTCCCCCGGCCAGTCGGTCTGTGAGCCCCACACCAGGAGCGGAGCGCGTGCATGTCTCTTGGCAGGGCTGCCCCCCACCCCCCACCCATGGCCCTGACGCTGGTCCAGTCCCCTGGGTGTTGAGGAGGGGGAGGCGGGCTGGGCAGATGTGGAGGGTCTTGGTTCTAGAAGATTCCAGAGGGGGGGGTGTTGAGAGAGAACACAGAGGTCAAGGTCTTGGCATTTTGTGTGGGGCATGTGGGAGGAAGGGGCCCGTGGGAGGAGGGGGCCCAAGCCGGTCCTGGGAGCCTGGGGCCTGAACCAGAGTGAACACACTGGGGCACCGTCTCCCCCGATGACCAGTGTGGAGTCGCCCCACAGCCCCACCCCCCCCCAGGGTGGCTCTCAGGCGGTTGGTTAGTTGCAGCGGGGGGTCTGCACTTTCCTGGTGAGGTGGCTGGGGGAAGGGCGAGTGGGGCGGCCACAGCCCTGCGAGCCAGAGGAGAGCTGGGGTCCCCCAGCCCCAGGGAGGGTCGGCGCCCGGGCCCTCCCACTGCCCTCCGTCTGAGGAGCCCGTGTCGGGAGGGCTCGGGAGATGCCCACCGAGGTCCGCTCTCAGCCGGCCTGGCACCCTGCAGGGGCAGGGAGGCAGCCACTCTGATGGGCACGGGGGTGGCTCAGAGGGACAGCGGCGCCGGGTCCCTGGGCCTCGGGGCAGGGGGCCCTGAGCGGCCCCTCCCTCCCTCCCTCAACACAGACCTCACTCCGGGGCCTGGGGTGAGAGCAGAGCTTCCAGAGCCCTTGACAGGCAGGTCCCCTTGCCTTGCAGGGAAGAGGTGTGTGCTCGGACCCGGAGCCGGCCCCGGAGGAGAAGAGGGTCCTGGAGCGGAAGCTGAAGAAGGAGCGGAGGAGGCAGGAGCGGAGGCGGCTGCGGGAGGCGGGCGCAGCCCCAGCCCAGCCCCCGAGGGCCCGGCCCACGGGCGCCCAGCTGGCCCTGGACTATCTCCGCAGGTGAGAGGCCGTGGCTGCTACGGGGCCTGGCCGTGCCGTGCCCCAGGTCTCTGGACACCTGGGAGGGGCACAGGCCCGGGGGACCTGGTTGAAACCCGGCTCTCCTAGGACTGCCAGTTGTGGGCCACTCCCAGCGTCGTCTCGGGGGCCTGGGGGCTGCAGGCCTCCGCAGCACGGCGGCGTCCATCCCGGAGGGAGGGCGGCTGCCGTGGGCTCGGCTGGGCTCCGCCCCTGAGCTGCTGTCCCCACGAGGGCTGGGACTCAGGGCGTCCAGGAGGCAGGAGGTCGGGGTTTTCCGTTAAAGCCGATGATTTCCCGGTGGGGCCTGCGTCTCCAGGCACGTTGCCCCCGTTCCTCCGTGAGGCCTTCCCCGGCCTGTGGGAGCCACGGGGTGCCAGCGGGGCCAGGAGGAGGCGGGCGGGGCGAGAGGCAGGCCGTGCCCCCAGTGGCAGGCGCGCTCTGCAGAGCGGGTAAGAACGGACCCAGCGTGCTGGGGCAGCGTGTTCTGGGTCAGGGCAGCTTCGAGGCAGAACGGTGGGCTGGCTGAGAGGTGACCCTGCGCAGGGGCCAGAGACACGAGGCTGCCCCACGCCTGCAGCCTGCGGCCCTGCCCGGACCCCGGAAGGGACCTGCCTCCGTCCCTCAGGTGAGGCGACATGCTCCAGGGAGGCCGGGGGAGGGGTGGCGGGAGCTGCCCCGTGGGCACCCAGCCCCTGCTCTCTGAGGGGGGCTGAGCAGGAGCTGCCACCGGAGAGCTGGCGGGAGGACACACGAGGACAGGGGTGGACGGTGGGGGAAACACCGGGTGGTTCGAGAGGGCCAGTCCCCCAGGGCCGTGCTGACGGGCGGCTGAGCCCAGGTGGGAATCGAGGCCAGAGCCCTGGGCGGTCTGGTACGGCCCAGGGCCTGCCCTGTGGCGGCCGCATGAGGCTCCTGGGCCCTGGGCGGACCGGGTCTGCGCTCGGGTGGTGCGTGCCCCCGAGCTGTGCGTGCTTGGGGACCAGCCGGGCCTCCCCGCCCGTCCGCGTGCAGGCCGGGGGTCTTTGGCTGGAGGGGAGGGCGCACCGGCCCCCCCCCCCGGCTGCCCTGGCATCTGAGCCGCTCAGACCACGTGGCCCTCGGGGCCAGGGCTCCTGGCTCCCCCTGCCTTCTCTGTCCCCCTCCGTACTCGGCTTAGGCCCCTCCCTTCAGAGCAGTCCTGTGAAGCCAGGGCGCTGTGTGGGCAGGACATGGCCCTGGGCCCTCCGGCCCTTCCGTCCTGGCTTGGCCAAGGACCCCAGCAAGTGTGCGGGTGCGTCCTCCCACCCGGGCCCCTGACCCCTGCTCCATATCTGCACCCTTGGGCCGGGAAGGTCCCCCCAGGACCCCTGCAGACGCCCTCTGCCACCCCCAGCCGAGAAGAGGCCGCCCAGGCCAGTCAGCGCGCCCAGACCCCCTGCCCGGGTCTGGCGCCTGACGAGCCCTGTCCTCGCGTCCCCAGCTGGGCCCGCAAGCAGGAGGACTGGAGGTTCCAGAAGACACGGCAGACCTGGCTGCTGCTGCACATGTACGACAGCCACGAGGTGTGTGCTTCGGACACAGCCCCCCCGTCCCCGCCCCGGGCCCCGGGAAGGCAGAGGCGGGCGGAGCGGACCTCCCGCACCCCGGCCCTCGCCGCACCGGCTCCTGGCGCCAGGGCGCTCTGCGAGGAGCGTTCGCAGTCCCCAGCGCTCCTGGTGTCGCGTCGGAGCGGCCGTGGCCTGGTCCAGGTGCGCGGAGGCCGGGTTTACTAACAGTCTGTCTGTTGCTGCACTGCTTCCCCGTCACCATCTAGCCCCCTGAGCCCCCTCCCTCTCCACCCCCCCCCCCCCCGGCGTGGCCCGGCCTCCTGTCCGCCCATGCGGACGTCCGTCTGCTCCAGAGAAGGGTGTTTTCCCACTGAGCGGCCTTGGCAGCTTGTGGGAAGTCGGTCGGGTGGTTCCTGGGTCCTCTGCTCGTTCCGTGGTCTGTCTGTCTCCGTCTGTGTGTCCGTCCTCCCGACCGGCCTCCGGTCTTCGCTGCTGCAGCTTCGTGGCTGTTCTGAGCCCAAGGCGGGCGAGGCACTGACCGAGCTCAAGACGGACTCCCGGCCCCTGGTTTTCCGCCTGTTCCCTCACTTCCCGAAGGGGCCGCACGGCCGTCCTGGGCCCCAGGTGCTCGCACCTGCCCAGGCCGCTGTCAGGCATCTGCAGCCCCCAAGGTCGCACTGCTGTCTTTTCCTCGACTCTCTGCCTCCCGACACACCTGCTCCGGGCCGACTCGCTGCACGTCACGGCACCGGCCTCCCGTGCGGGGCTGCGGCCCCACCAGCCCTGGGGACAGGGGTCACATGTGACGTGGGCTCTTTGCAGGTGCTGCCTAGCCACCCGGGCCCCTCAGTCCCTGGCACCAGGACGCTGTGGGCTGGACAGTCCCCTCGCGGGCACAGGCCAGGACCTGGGGCCCACTCCACAAGCATCTGCTCCCCCAGGCTCAGCGTCCTCCCCCAGGCCCCTGCTGGCCCGCTGAGCAGCCCTCACTGCCTCCCGTCCAGGTCCCAGAGGAGGACTTCCCCTCCATGCTGGCCTACCTGGAGGGGCTGCAGGGCCAGGCCCGCAAGGTGACCGTGCAGAAGGCCGAATCCCTGATGTGGGAGCTGGACCATGTAGGTGCCGACTACCCGGGCTCGCCCCTGCTGGAGAAGATTCGGCGTGTCCGGCAGGTGCTGCAGCTGCTCTCCTAGGGGCTGTGGCCGAGAGGGCCCCTGCCAGCCTGGGGGGCCCCACTGCAGACCACCTCCTGCTGGTGGGGACGGCAGGGTCACCAGCAGGCCTGAGGCTTCCGGGTGTGGGGCCCCTTCCTCTTGGCCCCGGACCCCTGGAAGGACCTCCTGCTGCGGCCCCTCTTGCCAGAGCTGCCGACAGGCGGCCACAGGCTCTGACCCCTCACGGCGCATGCGCCCCAAGCAGCGGCCTGGGGCCCCGGGAAGGAGCTTGCGGGGGAACGCCTGGTTCCTCCCCGAGGTCTCAGCAGCTGGCGCCTGCTCCCCACCAGCCGTGGGCCGTCCACGCGGGGCCGCGTTGGGCCCAGAGCGCAGAACTGTGGCCGGGGGACGTTGTGAAGGGCAGCGCTGCCCTGGCCGGCGGCTCCGTCGGTCGGAGCGTTGCCCTGACACACCAGGTCTCGGGTTCGACACAGACGAGAACCAGACGCTGAGTGAGCGTCCCCCCTTCTCTCCCTAAAATCAATAAAGGCAACTTCTTAGACGACGACGCGTCCGTGGCTGGTGCGGCTCAGCGGGCTGAGCGCAAGCCTGTGAACCAAAGGGGTCGCCGACTCAATTCCCAGTCAGGGTACACGCCTGGGTTGTGGGTGGGGCCCCAGGTGGGGGGTGCAAGAGGGAGCCACACACTGATGTTGCTCTCCCTCTCTTTCTCCCGCTCCCCTCCCCATCTCTCTCAAACTGAGTAAAATCTAAAAGCAACTTCAAACGGGACAGTGCTGATGACCACTGAGTCGGGCACCTGTAGACCCTCTGCTCCAGGGTCAGGCCCGGCCTTCCTGTGGACGTCCAGAGCCTGGCTGGGCCCCCTCTGGGGGTGCCATGGCCTCCAGCAGCTTCCTGACCCTGGTGATGCCCCTTAGGCATCTGGGCCTCAGCCTTGGCCACCCTGAAACACCACGCTGGGGAGGGCTCCTGGGCGGAGCAGGGCCTGGAGGGGAGTGACCCTGCCGAGGAGGGGCCCGCTTGTCCCAAGGGGCCTGGGCAGGTCCCTTGCTGACCACTTGGGGCCTTGGCTCCCACTCGCCTGCAGCCCAGAGCCCTGGTCTCTGAGGGTCATGGCACCCCACCCCACCCCACACCCAGGCCTGCTGGCCCACCCGCCGCGCCGTGCTGCAGCTCCAGAGGTGCCCAGCCCTGCCTGCTGGTGCAGCCGGATCCTGATCTCACGCTCACACTGGCCGGCATGCCTGCGTGCATGCACACGTGTGCACGCCCTACAGTCACATGCGTACATGGGCACGCCATGCCAGGTGTAAAGCCAGAGGCGCTTTGGGGCTAAGGCCACCACCAGGCCCTCTGGGACGTGTGCTCCAGCCCCTGGGGTGTGACCCCGAGGGTGCCCATCAGCCCGGCGACGCCTCCCCCGGAGTCCTGGGAGCGGAGGCCACAGCCTGAGCATGGCCCGGAGAGTTTGCTCACGGCTTGCCGGCCACGTCACTCCGCTTCTCACGCACCGGGAGGCCGCTGCAGTGCGGCTGGGGGCCCGCAGCCCGGGGGCCCTCCCCTCGAGACCGGGAGGCAGGGGTGCTGAGCACAGGCGCTGGAGGGCCCACCCACCACCCAGCCCCCAGCCCCCACCCCCCACCCCCCCCCCACCCCCCCCCCCCCCCCCCCACCTCGGTCCTGCAAGAGGCCCCTGTGCCCCCCACCCGGCCTACAGGGCGCCGGCCGGCCCTGTCCATGCAGCTGGTGGGGGCAGGCCCCGTGCAGTCCCTAGGACCGGGGCGTCCCATCCCATCTGTGTGGTGTGTGGCCAGCGGACGCCCCCCATCCCGGGCCCCACGGTGGTGAGTGAGATGAAGCGCTCACTCTCGACTTTATTAAATTGCTCTCCCACTTGAGATGGTGCCTGGCTGCTGCCATGTGGGGCGACCCCCAGCGCTTCACTGGCCTGCTTCTCCATGGGGGAGACGGGGGGGGGGGAGAGGCCACAGGGTGGGGCCCAGTGGGGCCAGGGCAGTGGCGGCGAGGAGTTCACGGGCCAGACTGTGAGGAGAGGCAGCACCAATGGGCTGTGGGGGTAGGGGGGCGGTTCTGGTGCAGGCGGGGGGAGAGGGGGGCCTGGGGGAGGAGGGACAGAAGAACAGAGGTCGGGGCCTGGCTGTCCTGGGAGAGAGGAGGGAGGGGATTGAGGACCGGGGTGCAGGGGTCTGGAAGGTGGGCTGCTCCCACGTGCCGGAACAGGCTTGGCGGAGCTGCTCTGGCCTCTGCTGCGCGCGGGGGGGCGGGGGGGGCTGCGGTGAGGGGAGGGGCCGCAACCCACACCCTCCCGGGCCCTGGGGGTCTGTCCGAAGCACAGGGCAGACCCTCCATCAGCGCCCCTGGAGCCTGGGCACCGCACACAGGGTCTGGGCAGGCGGCCGCATGGTGAAGGCTGGGGCGGGCTCGGTGTCCAGGTCCTCGGGGCGGAGGCCGGGCGGGGGCCGCAGGCGGAAGCTCTGCAGCAGCCCCGCGAAGAGCAGGAACAGCTCTGTCCTGGCCAGGCTCTCCCCCACGCAGATCCGGCGGCCTGTGGGGGGATGGAGGCCCAGGGTGGGGGCGGCCCGGGGCGGGGGTGGCCGGGGGAGGGCGAGCTGGGGGCCAGGCCTGCAGTGACGGGGACCCGGTCAGCTCCGGGCAGGCGGGGTGGGAGTGGCGGCAGGGGACGGGCCTGAGGTGCCCGGGGACCGGGCCGCCGGGGGTGGGGGGTGAGACCACCGCACCTGCGGAGAAAGGCAGGAAAGCCTCCCGTTTCACGAAGCGCCCATGGGCGTCCAGGAAGTGCCCCGGGTTGAACTGGCGGGGGGTCTCCCACTGCGTCTTGTCCAGGAGCACGGAGTTCAGCAGGGGGACCACGGGGGTGCCCTGCAGGTGCGGCAGCAGGTGGCCAGGCTGGGTGCCCTGCCCACTGGGGCAGGCCCCTGGTCGGAGCACTGAGAGGGAGGTCCCGGGGCCCCCTAGACAGCTGGGGCAGGGCCACTCCCCTGGCGCAAGGACCCAGGTCTGCTGCTCTGAAGCCCCTCCCCCGCCTCCCCACGGGAGGGAGCCCTGGCAGCCTGTACCCCAGGGCCCCGCCCCCCAGCGGAGAGGCAAGAGTGAGGGGTGGTGGGGACTGGGCCCGGGGCTGCGGGCGAGGCCTGGCCGCCCCACCTTGGGCAGCAGGTAGCCGCGCAGCTGGGTGTCGGCCGCCGTGCAGCGGGGCACGTGGGGCAGGAGAGTGATGAACCGCTGCACCTCATGCAGCACGGCGTTGGTGTAGGGCAGCGACCGCTGGTCCTCCGGCCGGGGTGGCCGCCTGGGCCCCAGGACGCGGTCCAGCTCCTCCTGCACTCGGCCTGCGGGCAAGAGGGTGGGCGCCGGCGTCCCTGCGAGCCCCCCTTCCTGGGCCCCGGGGGACCCCCACCCACTGGGTGCTGGACGGGCGAGCGGCACAGCCAGCACACCCACCCTGCACGCTCGGGTGCCTGCCCATGAGGAGGGCAGCCCACTGCAGCGTGGCGGAGGTGGTCTCCGTGCCGGCCATGACCATGTCCAGGACACAGGCCACCACGTTGTCCTCGGCAAACAAGCCATCGGGGTCTCTCCCCTGCAAGGTGGGGGTGGGCAGGGCTGAGCAGGGGGCTGCGCCCACGTGCCCCCTCCCCCCGCCACCAGCCCTGAGCCCTAGAAAAAGAGTAAAAGTCAGCTTGGCGGGAAGGACCGAGCCAGGCTCTGCGGGGCACCCACTGGGTCCTGGCCCAGCGAACTCTCCCAGCTGCCCCTCCCCCTCACCAAGGCAGGCTCCGCGAAACCCCGTTTCACAGGTGGGGAGACTGAGGCTCAGAGAAGCCCTCAGGGAGGAGATGGGGGATCGGGCGGGGACCGGATGGACTGCCCAGCAGTGGGCGCCCCGGGACAGCCCCGGGCCTCTCCCGGGGAGGGGTCGGTCCAGTCCACACCTGGCCTCTCTGGATCAGGGCGTCCACGTAGCTGCGCACGGGGCCTCCCCCGGGCCAGGACCCCCGGCGCGCCGCCAGCAGGGCCCTCAGGATGGCGCGCACCTCCTCGATCTTCCTCAGGACCGGCCGGTGCAGCTGGAGGAGGGCCCCGAGCCAGGGGTACATGTTGAACAGCTGGGGCGGAGGACGGGACAGCTGGGTGGGGGCGCAGGCCCCTCCGCCCCACCTGCTGCGGGGCGCTCTGTCAGTCCCGCCGCGGCGTTCACGCCCCGGCTGATGGGGCTGAAGCCACTGGAGGCCACAAGAGGGCGCTGGGCACGGGGGCCCCACGGCCCTGCCTCGTGGGACCCTTGGGACCCTCGGCCTGGACCCCTCCCAGGGCAGCAAGGAGGGGCCAGGTGACAGGCAGCACCCCTGGGGGCTCCTGTAGGTCGCAGCAGGCCCTGCAGCCACACCTGCCCCCCGCCCCAAGCTGGCGGGAGGGGAGAGCAGTGCTGCCGTGGGGGGCCGAGTCTGCAGCCAGCTGTCAGAGGAGGGGAGTTTGCCACCTGCAGGCTGCGGCCCCCCCACCCCCGACCCCGGGGACCCTGAGCGGGCCAGCTGGCCAGCACTCGGTCAGCGCTCAGTAGGTGCCAGGCTGGCTGCACCTGCACGGCGTGGGGCCCAGGGATGGCCGGGAGCTGCAGGCCCCCGTCCCCGAGGCTCAGCTTGGCCTTCCGAGGGGGCCGGGGCCGCCTGCCCAGGAACCGCGCCACCGTCCCAGCCCCGGTGGCTCAGTGCGTTACGTCAGGAACGGTGCTGACTGCTGGACACGGGTGCTCTGGGTTTGGGGAGATAAGGAAGGGCACGCGACCTGGGCGCTGGGGGGAGCAGAGGGACCTGCATCTGCCACCCCTGGGTGCTGAGGACTCCAGACCCTGGTCCCACCGTCACCTCTGGGCAGGTGGGCAGAGCGGAGGGGAGGACCCCAGCCCGAGACCCCTCCCTTCCCAGACTGCACAGGGACTGACCGGGGGCACGGCCAGCTGTGCAGGGACGGGACCAGTCTGAGACCTGTGCTGCCTCCGTGGGCTGGAGCTCGCTCCTGGCCGGCCACCGACGGGCCCGCCCCACCTGTCTCAGACTGGCACCCAGCTCCCTGCCCCCACCCCGAGGCTGGGAAGCGGCGCCCTCTCACCTGCAGCCGGGGGGTCCCCAGGAGGACCATGACCTCGTCGATGAGGCCCAGCAGGGACACAAACACGGGGTCCTGGTAGTCAAACCGCTGGCCGAAGAGCAGCGCGAAGGTGGCGTTGGAGGGGGCCCAGCCGAGCAGGGCCAGGGGGAAGGGCCGGCCTGGGGGACGGGGGCCGGCATCAGCGGGGGGGGCTCCCGGGAAGGGGGCGCCCCCAGCCCCCACTCACCTCCGTACTGGTGCAGCCGCCCCAGCAGGCAGCTCAGCTCCTGCAGGATCTTGCCGGCCACAGGCGCCCTCCCCACGCCCAGGCCGTGCAGGGCGCGCACGGTGAGCTGGCGGGCCGCCTTCCAGGGCTCCCCCGAGGAGAAGAAGACGCCTGCGGCCAACACGGGGCGACCCCAGAGATGCAGGCTCGGCACCCCCAGCGCCAACCCCCGCCCCCTGTCCCTCCCCATGGCCGGGCCCCCCCCCCCCGGCACCTACCCCTGCCGCCCTGGATGAGCTGGAAGATGGCGATGGGGGGCCGGTCGGCCAGCTGCCGCCCCGTGCCCACCAGGGCCGCCCTCACCGCCTCGTAGCCGGCCAGAACCACCGTCTTCTGGCCTCCCAAGTGGACAGTGAACACGGGCCCGTACTGTTCCGCGAGCTGGCGGGACAGGCGAGGGTCGCCCGGGGCCCCCAGGCCCTCAGGCAGTGCCGTGCCGGGTGGGGGCCCCGGCGGGGGCAGGCGGGAAGGGGGGTCCCAGGAACCACAAAGGGGAGCGGGGTCTGGGGCGGTGTCCAGCTGCACCCCCAAACCCCGGAGGCACCGGGGAGGTGGGGTGTGCCCTGCAGGGGCTCCTTGTCAGAGGAGACTCTCCAAGGGGCTTCGGGAGCCCGGGCAGGCCTCCTCCCAGAAGCCCTCCTGGCTCTCTGCCCTGTCAGCGGCCCGTCTCCTTCGGGGTGGGGCGGGGAGCCTTCCCCTCCCCGAGGCAGGGTAGGCACTTGGGCCCCAGGGTCCCCCGCGGGCCTGCACCCAGCTGGACCGCAGACCTCCTGACCCCCGGGGGTCCCGGAAAGCCGGGGCCCTGCCTCCCCGGATGGGGCGGGCCGCCCCCACAGCCACGGCGCGGCCGCCTCACCTCCATCAGCGCGTGCTCCTGCCGGGCCGCCCACAGCAGGTGCAGGTTCCCCACCAGCGGCAGCGGGCGAGGCCCCGGGGGCCAGCGCGGGCCTGGGGCGCGGGTGCGGGCGCGGAGCAGCACCCAGATTCCCAGGAGCACCAGGAGCCCCAGGAGCAGCGGGGCCATGAGGACGGCGGTGGCGGGGCCCCAGCTCCCTGCCTGGGCCCACGGTCCCGCCCTGTGCCTTGTAGGCCTCTGGGAGGGCGTGCCAGCACCCCACCCACCCCACCACCCCGAGAATGTGGAACAAGCAGTTTGCAGGGGACAGCCAGGCGGCTTAAAGCGACAGGCGTGTGTGGAATGTGGGGTCGAGTCTGTGCAGGGAGCAGCCGGGTGCCGCCTGGGGGCAGGGGTCCCACGCGCCGCTGGAGAGGACGCATCTCCGTGGCCGGTCTCTGCCCCCCGCCTCGGGCTCCCCGTCGGAACCGGGACCTCCGGGGCCTGGGGATCCCGCCCGGCTCCGAAGGGGGCAGCCACCCTCCCCTCTCCGAGCCGCCCTCCTCGGCGCCCCACGGGTGCAAGGAATGTGGGCCTTTCCCAAACCCACCACCCGGGGTCCGCCCAGCTCCTGTCTGAGGGGCCAGTGGGGGGTACCAGGTGTGCAGCCCCTGGGGCTGGCCCTCGAGGGTCTGCCCAGCAGACGCCTCAAATCCCAGGGCCTTCACCCAGGCGCCAGCAGCGTCCCCCGCCGCCTAGGCCCTGACGTGAGCTCGCCCTGAGCCACAGTCTGCTCCGGCGGCTTTGAGGGCAGTCACCTGGGGCCTGCAGGAGGCACCAGGCTGCACAGGGACAGGGCGGGGCTGACAGCCGAGGGGCCCACCCTGCAGCCAGGGCCGCTGCTGACAGGTGGCTGGGTTTACGAGCCGCCGTCTGTCTGGGCCGCACGCTTCCCCCCTGGGCCCTGGCAGCCCGGCCGGGAGGGTCGGGGAAGCTGCGGGCCCCGGAGGCAGCTGGGCCTGCTTCAGGCCGCCTGCGCCGACAGGAGGCAGCCGGACCCCACCCGCACAGACAGGGCGCCCGCCGCAGGGCCTGCACCTGGGGCACCGCCCGTACCCCCTGCAGAAAGCCCAGGGACTGAGGGCCTCTCCCACACCCAGCCTCGATTTTTGCAGCTCCAGGGGCGGGGCGCTCACTCCCTGGCAAGCAGCCTGCACCCTTGCACAGCTGTGGGGGAGAGGGTGCTGGCCGGGGGTCCTGTCTGCCCAGGGAAGCCCACTCGACTCAGCATCGCCCACCGAGCGCCCTCGTGTGCCAGGCTCGGCCAGCAGACAGGGCGCCACAGCCCCGAGAGAGAAGCTGCGGTGGCAGCGACTTGGTCCCCGAAAACCCCTGGGGCGCGGTGGGGACATCGGGAGCCGAGGGGCCGAGGATGCGAGGAAGAGGCTCCCCCAGAGGGCCCCCCCCGCCCCCGGCGAGAAGCCTGGAGGCGTGAGGACCGGGGCGGCCTGAGCCCAGAGCCTGGTGGGCACTGCAGGGCCGTGTGGGGGCGGGGGAGGCACTGCTGGCTGGCGGGGAACTCTGGGTCCTGGGCAGGGGCTGGGCCCCCCACAGGCCCCTCCTTCAGGAAGGTGGAGCTGGGGCCCCCTCGGGCCGTGTGGGCTTGGGGTCCAGGCCTTGGTGCGGGCGCAGGGCCCCTCGGGGGCGCCAGTGCGGGAACCATCCCGCTAGGCCGGTTCCCAGAGCCGCCCAGCCCGGCGGGGGGGCCCCCCTCGGTGGGCAGCAGGCCCGCAGGCCCTCGGGTCCCTCGACGGCCGAGCCGGGCCGGGCGGCCCCTGCTGGCGGAGGGGGAAGCAGGGTCCCCTCGGAGAGGGTCTGGGGGCACCGGCAGGTCAGGGGGCAAGGACGGGTCTCCACTGCGCCCACCATGGGGCCTGGCCTCAGCACTGACGGCTTCGATGGGCGCCGCCCTGCGAGGGAGCCCGGCCGCACTTCCCCCACCTGTGAATGGGCCGGTGACCCCTATTCCACGGCCTCTGAGGAGGACCACCTGTCCGCCGAGCGCAGTGCCCCGCCCGCCGCGGGCCCTCCGCGGCTGTTCCCACAGGCCTGAGCCGTCCTGGCCCAGCACGCGGGGCGGGGGGGGCGGTGATGGGGTCAGGCCCAGGGTCCAGTCTCTGCTGCCACCCATGCGTCCTCGCCAGCGGTCGTGTGGGCTCCCGGTGGTCAGGCTCCCCCTGGCGAACTGAACGAACTGGGCTGGACGCGGGCCGCGTGCTGGGGGCCCTCGCGCAGCCCCCGCGTGGCGTCGGGAGCCGTGGGGGCAGTTTCTCTGAGACACCTCGACAGACCTCTGGTTTCTAACTTGCACCGGGGCGGCGTTCCCGATGCTGTCCCCGGGCAGCAGGGCGGTTTCGGGTGGCACCCCCGTCCACCGGCAGTCCCCACCGCGCACTGTGGCCTCACACCGGGGCCCCGGGCTGACCCGCACCGGTCACCTGGCCCCGCACCAACTGGCGCTCAACCCTGGCATCACCCGGGGAGGGTGTGAGTGCGGCGGCGACCCCTTTCCCAAGGCGGTTAAGTCCCGGCGTCTGTCCCCGGGACTCCGCGCCCACGCTGAGAGGAGTCCCCAAGGTGCCTGAAGTCACAGCCAGCGAGGAGCAGCCGGGCACAGCTCCCCGAGGTTCTGTGGGTGCCACCGCGTCCTCACTCCCGCCCGCCCGCCCGCTTCACACCAGCCCAGCCCAGCCCGGACGCGGAGGCGCCCGCGGCACAGAAGGCGCGCGTGCGCGCGCGCGCTCAGACGCAGCGCCTGCTCGGGAAGACGGGCACCCCGGCGAGCGCGCCCCTGGCCTGGTCCCCCTGTCACACCGCGGGGGCGGCGAAGGGCGTCTCCCCTGCTCGTCCCACAGACCGCCATCGTCGAAGGGAAACACGCACGGCCTCGGTCACTTTCGTGTCTGCCGTTTGCATCTTTTTTTTTTTTAAGATTTTTAGAATTTGTTTTTAGAGAGATGGGGAAGGGAGAAAGAGAGGAAGAGAAACATCGCATGGTTGGCTCCCGTGCGCCCCCTAGTGGGGACCTGGCTCACAACCCAGGCATGTGCCCCGGCTGGGAATCGAACCCTTTGGTTTGCAGGCGGGTGCTCCATCCACTGAGCCACACCAGCTGAGGCCCAACTTTTGCATCTCGGTCCACTGTGCTGTCTAGAGAGTCTGAGGTGAAACGCAGAGAAGCAAAATGAACGCTGATCTAAAGCAGTGGTTTTCAAGCAGGGAGACCCCTGACCCTGGGGACATTGGGTGATGACGGAGAAGTTTATGGCCGTCCCCTCCGGGGACGTGGGTGCTGCTGTCCAGTCGGCTGCCAGCGTCCCCCTCTGCACAGGACGGTCCCCACGCAGAGCCACCTGCGGTGCAGAGGCCTGATGTAGACTCCTCCCTCTCTTCACGTGGCTCCGGCTGCGTGATGAGCTGTGGGTTCTCAGTCCCGACCACGGGAAACTCGTTAAGACGCTGCTTTCAACTTTGCAATGAGGACGGTAATTTTTTCCCGTCCCCAAAGTGCTTTGTGCCCTGAAACGAAGGGTCGCACGCAGACGCCAGCCCACGGGTCTGCGGCAGGACGGGGCCGAGGCACTCGGAGGACGCAGGGAAGGAGACAGCCTGGGGCTGCACTTCGTTCTGACGGTGCTAGCCCCCCGCCAACGCTCCCCGCTCTCCTGGGAACGCCAGCCCTCCCCTGGGGAAGGAGAGCTGGCCGGTGTCCACCCCGCTCACGTTTCCCAGGGAGATGCATTTACTGTCCCAACGGAGGGTGAGCCTCGGACAAAGGGGAGGGTGTGAACGGACCGAGTCTGGCTCAGGGACGCGGCCCCTGCAAGGCACAGATGCAAAGGATGCTGCAAAGTGAATCCCCAGAAACGGGATCCCTGAGTCAAGGGGTTGCGGCTTGTTAGGTTCTGGCCGCTGATCCGCTGTGACAGACAAGGTCCCGGTCCCCACTGACCCACCCAGAGGGCATCAGGAGGCACCCCCACCTCCCGACCGGGCCCCTGGACTCTCAGTGCCCGGCCTGTCTGCTGCTCCTGCATTTCCTCCGGGGGGGGAATGGGGTGGCCCGAGGCTGAGGCCGAGCGGCCCCAGCTGATGCTGGGTGGGCTGTCTCCCCAAGGCCGGCCCGCACTGTGATGTCATGAGCAAGGCCACCCACTGAGGGTGGGAGGTAAGGGCCCCCGACACCAGCTCCTCGACAGAGACTTGGCCTCTCTGCGTCCGTGCGTCTGAAGGAGGAGAAGAGCAGACACCAAGGGGGTCCGCTCTTCCAGGGGCATCAGCTGGGTCCCTGCGGGTGCCAGGCCCTGCTCTGAACCCCAGGGTCCCTGTGAAGCAGCCCAGCACTCAAGAGGGCTCCCCAAAACGTTAGTTCCTCCCCCGCTTTTCCTATCTGTGCAGCTGAAATGCCCCACCCCCATCTCCGCCCCCTGCTGAACGAGCAATAATCATTCTCCGGGAACAGCAGAGTCCATTAAAGCTGGCCGCCAGCTCGAGGTCAGTGATCCCCCGGGGCCACGAGGCCGGCGGCTGTGGGCAGCCTGGCGGGAGGGGCGGTCCCGTGCTCCGCTAGGTGGTTCGATCCAGTCGGGTGGAAAGTGCTGCCTGCTGGTGATAAAGCCGCCATTGTCCACAGCCCTGGAGTCTGTCAATGAGTAACCTGTGCGGCCCTGGCTCCGGCGTGTGCAACGGTGGTTTATGTGACAAGAACAAGGTGCAGTTTCCCTTCCGTAGTTTTCAGGGGTCCCAGACCAGCTGACTGGGTGGGAGTGGGGGGCTGTCCCTGTGGACCCCTGCCAGCGCCCGCCAACACTGGCTGTCCCAGACACGGAGTGGGCGCAGCCTCCGGCACCCGCCCAGCAGTCGTCACTGCGAACAGGACCCAGCAAGGTGCTTTCGGGGAGCCTCCTGGAGTGTGGGGCACCGAAGCCAGGCCCTGAGGAGGGGACAGGCCCTGGGCTGGGGCAGTTTCGGCCTGTTGGCCGGCCCCTCCCTGGAAGCCCCTCCGTGTCTGGAGTAGGCTTCTCCCCCTGACCTTGGAAAGAGCAGAAGTTCTAGGTCACGGTAGGGATCTGCGGGGCCAGCTGGCCAGCCCCATGCCCCTGAGGACGCTACGTGCCTATCTGAGAGCCTGGTGCTGGCTGGTGCCCAGTGACTGGTCATCAGGTGGACGGAGTGTGGACAGAATTCCCGGCAGAACTGCAGGGGGGTAGACAGGCTATGCAGGGAGACAGTGACCCACCTCCCCGCTGTCCGGATAAAGAGGCGGGGCACGGAGTGGGGGTGCGCAGGGTTCAGGGCCTGGGGAGAGCTGGGGTCTCCCCTGAGCCCTCCCACTGTTGTCACTGCCTCCGCCAGAAAAACAAGGAGTGACCGCCAGGAGCTGGCCTCTTCCTGATGCCCTTGTCCCTACAAACTTTCCGCTGTCTCAGAAACAGGGTCCTGGCAGGAGTAATTAACTACGGTGACGTGATCAGGGCGGGCCCTGAGCCAACGATTGGCGGGGAAACCTGGAAACAGACCTGCGCGCGCACAGGGGAAGCCGGGTAAGGGTGGAGGCAGAAATGGGGGATGGGCCGACAACCCAAGGAATGCCGAGGGTCGCCCGCAAGCCCCAGAGAAGAGGGGACGCCTGGGGCAGGAGGGTCCAGCCCTGCCGGCACCTTGATCTTGGACTTCGGCCTCCTGTCACCCTGAGCCGCCCCAGGAAGCTCATCCACGCTCCCTCCTTTACCATATTTCTCAATAGGCCGGCGCCATGATCAGGCCCTGGGGCCCAGACGCCGGGGCCACAGAACCCCGCAGAGGCTGCCAAGGACCCGCCAGTCGCTGCCCTGCGGCTCGGTGTGCACTGAAGCTGTGTGTCCTCGGGCAAGTTGCTGAACCTCTCTGAGCTTCCGTTTCCTCGGCGGTGGGGTTACTGTGAGGGTCGGCGGGGCTGAGACTGGAGAGGGCAGAGCGAGCGCAATCCCACGCGGGATTAGGGTGTTTTAGAGCCGCGGGGGGGAGCGGAGCCACACTGCGGGGGCGTGGCCTCGCGGCGAGAGCCGCTCGATGTGCTCGGCATTCGCTCCGGGCCTGCTCGGCGCTCGGCCGGCCGGCCTGCGTAGAGCGCGTACCGCTCTCAGAGGCTCCGGCGCTGTCTCCATCATGTCCACCGCCATGAACTTCGGGACCAAGAGCTTCCAGCCGCGGCCCCCCGACAAGGGCAGCTTCCCGCTGGACCACTTCGGTGAGCGGCGGGCGGCCCCGGAACGCGGGGGCTGCCCCGTCGGCGAGTCTCGCCAGGCGTCCAGGACGTAAATCACTCCTGCGGGGTTGATCTGCCGTCTGCGCGGCTGGAGCCGGAGGAAGTCACGGCTCCGGCGGGCCTGGGCTGCCCTCGGCCGCGGCGCTTTACGGCGGACCTCCGAGCGGGCCCGCCGGGCCGGCCGATGCGGTGCCGTGCGCGTGTCCCGAGGGGCGGCGGTGCCCACGGCGGGGGGCGGGGGGCGCTGGGAGCGCGCCCGGCGCGGGCCGTGGGGACGAGGGCTGTGTTCTCTGCCGTCCTAGGTGAATGCACGCGCTTCAAGGAGAAGTTCCTCAAGTGTCTCCGTGAAAATAACTTCGAGAACGGCTTGTGCAGATACGAGTCAAAAGAATACTTGGAATGCAGAATGGAGAGGCAAGTTCCGTGGACGCCCCCCCGCCCCAGGTCCCCCGGGTCCCCGGTCCCCGCCCGGACGCTTCTTTCCCGAGGCCCTGGGGCTTCGCCCAGCCCCCAGACCGCCGCCGACGCCACGGGACCCTTTGCCGGCGGGCTCACGCTCCCTGGGGCTGCCTTCTTCCCAGCCTTGGCCCTCTAGCCTCGGGTGCAGGGGGCGCCGTCATCAAGGTTCAGAACCCCAAACCTGCGGACCGAGCCCGAATGGGCGGGTGGCAGCGGGGTGCACGCAGACGTGCGCTGCGCGTTTTGTCGCTCGGCCTGTGCTGGGAGCACGAGAGGCTCCTCTGCAAACGGCAAAAGGCGGACGATGCGCTGCACCCCATTCCTGACAGCGCGCCCGGCAGCGCGGAGTCACAGTGAGGACTGTGCTGACCTTTCCCGGGGAGCTGCGGCTGTTGTTACGGAGCAGCGGGGGTGGGACTGTCACCACCCAGGGACCCTGCCTGCTGGCCAGCAGCCTTGCCCCCCCGGGGTGGACACCAGGCAGTCCGTTCAGAGCCCCACGTCCACTGCCCCAGGACAGGCTCTGTGAGGGCGTTTCCCCAAGGCACGATGTTTTTGTGCTGCGGGCCGTCGGGGTGCTGGGGCTTTGAGGGACGTTGGCGTTTTGAGGGAGCAGTCCCTGGTCCCCCCTATTAATCGTTCAGGCTGGGACCCCCAGTCCCGTGGCACTGCTCAGGGCAGCCAGGTGGCCAGCTAGCGGCCTGGACAGCGTTCCTCACTCTGCTCACCAGCCCCTTGACCCCTCTCCCTGTCTGTCTGTCTGTCTTCTAGGCAACTGATGGCACAGGAGCCCCTGGAAAAACTGGGGTTCGGAGACTTGGAGGATGGAAAAGCCAACAAGCGCTAAGTTTCCGAGGGAGGACCGCTGGCTGGTCGTCTGGGGCAGAGCGGTGGCCCTCGCCTGTCACCCTGACGTGGCTTCCGAGGTGGCATGACTGAGGGGTGTCCAGGCGCCCTTGAAGCGCTGTGACGGGCTCGGCCGCAGCTGGGAGAGGGCTGGTCCTCGGAGCCTCCCAGGTCCCTTGGGAACTTTTCTTCCTATTAGACTCTCCTCTCCCCTAAGAGTGTCCAGCTCTGTCTTTAAAGGCTTGCGTGACGGAGAGACCCTGGGGCAGCCTGTGTGGGCTGAGGGGTCTCACCAGTGTGGGCCCCCCTGCCCCCCCCCACGTGTGGGGGCTCCGTCTCGTGGCACCAACGGTGAGAATGCAGCCGGGCTGCTGTGGGTGAATTTCAGAAAACCGTCCCTGGCAAAGTGGTTTCTTTCCTTTTTTTTTTTTTTTTTAACAAAAATGAAAAGGCAGAATCCAGGAGAATCAATAGTATGTTAGAAAGAGACGTGAAAAACTGCATGCGTACCTGTGTATTTGTTCAAGAAAGAAACTCAGGAAGGACAGGCCGGAAACCAATGAGAATCGTCCCCAGCCTGCAGTTTAGTTCTGACTGAACCGCATTCGTGGTCCCCGCGCTCAGAAACGGGCCAGGACGTGGCGGGCCCCAAGGGAGCGCCCGCCCCGGGCGCTGTGACTGCCGGGCGGGGCGGGAGGCAGAAACGGCGGGAATAGTGCTGTCACTAGAGTGACAGCCGGGAGAGCAGGGTTCCACCCCCCAGGAGTCAGTTGTTTGTTCACGTGGAGAGTTCCGGAACTGTGGTCCCCGTGTGAAAAGACTAGTAATGCGGTGGGTGGGTGGGTGAGAGCCGGGCATGTCGGACTCCTGGTTTGCTGGCACACAGGCTTGCTAGATACAGAAATAGGTGTGTGTGCATGTGTGAATGCATGTATGTGTATATGTGTGTTGTGTGTTGTGCGTGCCGACGTTACAGCTCTGAGCACGGAGGGGCCTGGAAGCAGCCAGGCCCAGCGCCCAGCCCCTGGGTTCCAGCGCCCTGGACAGGGCTCCTTGCAGCGGGGCTGAGGAGTGCGGACCATCTCGTGTCAGAAGGAAGGAGCTGCTGAAGAAATGATGGGGTCATCCGAGGACCCAGGAGGCCACACCGAGGGACAGCGGTCACGGCAGGGGCGTGGGCTGGGGGGGCAGCGGCTGGTTTGAGCAACAAGGTCAATATTGTAGTGGCTTGTGGCCCTGGCTCCCGTGGCTCAGTGGACTGAGTGCCAGCCTGGGAACCAAAGGGTCACGGGTTCGATTCCCAGTCGGGGCACATGCTGGGTTGCGGGCCAAGTCCCCAGCAGGGGGCAAGTGAGGCAACCACACACTTGATGTTTCTCTCCCTCTCTTCCTCCCTTCCTCTCTTTGTAAAAATAAATGAATAAAATTTAAAAAGAAACAATGGCTGAAAACTCAGGTGTGATGGCGCACACGAACACCCAAGGAGCTCGGTGCACTCCAGGTCAGTTGAGCTCGGAGAGACCGGACACCTCACCCTCCGACTCTCCCGAGGCCTGGAGCGAAGAGCCCCAGAGGCAGCGCGGGAGGCGGCTTACCCCACCCGAGGGCCCCCACGAAGAGAGAAGGCAGATTTCCCGCCAGGGACTCGGGGCTGGGGGCACCGGGCTGACTGTTAACCCCCGCACCGCCGACGGTAGCGGAGACTTGATGGCCCAGCGGTGGCCACTCACAGAGCAGCAGACAGACGGTGCGGGGGTGGGGGCGTCCCGGACAGAGCCTCAGTCCTACGAGACGGGGAGCTCCGGAGAAGGGTGGGTCGTGGCCGCACATCACTGCTGTGTCGGCCGTCCAACCGTCCACCGAGAAGAGCGGGCGGGGAGGGTTACCTTATGTGCACTTCGCCACACCTGTGTGGCACACCTGTCTCCCCAGAGGCCCACCTGCCTTGCCCCCCACCGCGGGCAGAACCGCCACTCTCATGGCCCTCCCCCGCACCTGTCTGTTCACCTCCAGCCCCTCACCCTGCCACACGCCACCTCTCACCTGCCTGCCTGGTGCCCTGGACGTGGGGCCCCCTGGACGTGGGACAAGAGCCACTGCGGTGCCGTCCGCAGCGACCTGCCCGGCCCCTTCGACACCCTGGCGCATGGAAATGCTCCGTCAGGGTCTGCCGTGCGTTCTGCCCGTTTAGAGTGCGAACCCCGACGGCGTCAGGGGTGTTCTCAAGGCCACCCTCTGCGGTCTGACCCCTGGACGTTCGCGTCCTCCCGGGAAGAAAGCCCCGCCCACTGGCAGCCCCGCCCACTGGCAGCCCCGCCCCTCTGTCCTCAGGCCCCCCGCCCTCCAGTCCCCGTGGCTCCCCGTAAATGGGGTCACACACAGGTGCCGCCTTTGCGACCGGCCCCTTTCCCTAGGCGTGGCCTCTTCAGAGGTCACCCGTGGAACGTCCACCAGCACTCCACTGCTCCGCACTCTCCTCCCACCCGCCCGTTCGGGTCCGCGCAGCGCCCCGAACCGGAGTCAGCGCAGACCCACCTGCTTCCTCGGTCTCCGGGGTTCCCTGCGCTGGACCGTGTGGCCGTCTTGGAAGGAGGCGCCTTGCCCTGCTGGTGGGCTCTCTCAGCGACCCTCAGGGGCCGAAGCCCTCACTCTCACCCCGGAGGCTCCCATCCCTGGCTTCCCTGCGCGAGGGGAGCAGGTCCGAACCTCCTGCCCGCAGGCCTGGAGGTCCGTGCGGCCCAGCTCGCTCCTGCCGCCAAGTGGCGAGAGGCGGGCACGACACCCGCTCCCACCGCCTGCTTCCTGCCGCGTGTGGCGAACCCGCCGTCACTGAGGGTGTCCCGAAGCCCAGAGCCGGCTCCCTAGGGACCTGGTACTCGGACGTGACCCTGGGTGTTTGAAAATGCCCCTGCCAGGGCCGCATCGCCGCCGGCCGAGTGGGAATCCTGAGCCTCGGGTTCGCACCACCTGCGCGGGCGGAGAGCTGCGGTGCTGAGCTGCCAGCCCCGGGAGTGGGGCCGCGAGTCCTGGTCGTCCCCTGCGGCCCGGGCCCGGCTCGCGCTCCACGGCTCAGAAAGCGCACACGCATCCGTGCAAGGAGCGGAGGGACGAGTACCGTGAGGATCTTTCTGAAACAGGTGCCTAGATGGAGGTGAAACTCCCACGACACAAAATTCGCCATTTTAAGGCGAACAGTTTGGCAGCATGGCCCCAGAGCACATCCATCCCCCGGAGAGGAGACCCCACGCTCAGGAAGTGGCCACAGGCAACCGGCCGCCGGCCACTTCCCGCCCCCTGTGTCCCGGGGTGGACCTGCCTGCCTGGGACTTGTTTCCTGTGGATGCAACCACTCGGCTGTGTCCTTCTCCTGCTGAGACGCAAGCTTCCCAGGCCCCTCCACCCACCCAGTCGCGTGCCAGCGCCTCGGTCCCTTTGCTGGGCGGTCGAGTGCATCCCTGCGTCTGTGCTGGGCCCGGGCCTCCGTGAAGTCCGCTCGCAGCATTCGCACCCAGGGCCGGGAGTTCATTTTTCACGGATCTGACCAGGCGAGTCTTGCTCATTCCCGGGGTCCCCGGTTTCACCCGAGATGGCTTCTCCTGTGACAGGGAGGAGCGCGGCCGCCCACCTGCGACCTGCAGGGGAATCCGGACGTTAGCCTCCAATATGTCACGCCCCGGGGAGGCCTCAGCCCCTCTTTCCACACAGCTCTGGCTGCTCGAGGCTTTTCCCGTTGCCTCCACTTCAGCCCCCAAGACCCCCTCTCGCCCAGATGCCCCTTGAGAGGGCTCAGCACCCACTTGCCCCGTGGGCACTCACGCCCCCTCCCGCTGCTGCGACCTCTGCACCCCGGCCCGGCCTTGAGCTGCGGATCGAGTCTTCTGGGGGAGCCCGTGGACGCTCCGACCTCACCACCCGCCCTCCGGCCTGTGAGGAAGGGGCCTGCAGGCGGCCGCCTACAGGGACATCACGGGGAGCCTGAGGGGCATTTTCGGGACCCTGACCCTTTCCCAGGATAAAGAAAGTATGTACCCATGTTTCCTCCCGTCTAGGACTCTGTGGGTGCCAGCCCCCGGAACACGAGGGGGTGAAAGCTGAACTGCGAGATCGTAAACACACAGCTCAGAGCATCCGTCACAGCAAGCACCTGAAGCCCCCAAAGGCTCCCCCGGGTCCCCGTCCAGTTGACAGCAGCCCAGCAGGAGCCATGGCTCTGCACCCAGCGGTGTCCATGGGTGCACGTGGCTCAGGTGGATGCGCAGAGCTCAGGGCCTTGGGCCAGGCCTGCTCCTCCCCGGAGGGCCCAGCAGACAGCAGCTCTCCTCGGGGGCTTCCGGGACCCCGTCCCCACTCCTCAATGGAAGCAATGTTTTCAGGAGCCTGTGGCCGTCACAGACGGAGCTGGGCCCCGCGGTCCTGGGTGTCGGGTTGGTGTTCTCGCGGCCCCTTCCCCTCTCAGGGTGTGATTCCTTCCTCCTGAACCAGCCTCCCGAAAGTAAGGTGCCCACATGCCCTGCGAAGCTGAAAAGCTGTTTTTCTTGCCGACTTTTTAAGAATATAATTTAACACCAGGACAAACTCATAGACTAAAGACCGTGTATTACAGTGGCCACGCAACGAACAGAGACCAGCGGAAGAGACAGACACACAGCATTTTAACCAGAAGAAAAGGAAAGTAAGAAGACGTGAGGTCCGTTCTGGGCACACGTAATTTTAAAGAGGAATAATAAAGATAACTTCCATAGCTTTTAATATATTCGGGGAGAGGTTATTTAATTGCAGTTAAATAGGAGGTGATAAGTTTAGCTGAAGTTTTGCATGATCGGGACTAAGTTAGTTTCTTAACAAAGGTGCACAGCCCTGACCCGTGAGGCTCGGTGGGCTGGGCATCGTCCTGCAAAGCGGAAGGTCGCCGGTTTGATTCCCGGGCAGGGCACACGCCTGGGTTGCGGGTTCAGTCCCCAGTCGAGACACATACGAGAGGCAGCTGATTGATGTCTCTCACATCAATGTTTCTCTCTCCCTCCCTCCCTCCCTCCCTCCCTTCTCATCACTCTAAGAATAAATAAACAAAAGGCTACAAAACAGAAAGACACAAGTTTCACTTCATAGGATTTTTAAGATTCGGGACATGTACAAAACCATCTTTCCGTGTCGGTGCCACAAATGTCAGCGGGGCAAATGTCCCCTCATCTGAGAGCTGCACCGGGCGGCCTCCATGGCAGAGCACAGCCTCCTGGGTCCCACGCGCTTGGGGCGGGCCCCTGCCCCAGCCTGGTCGGCTTCTGTCTCCTCTCGCTGGGGGGTGCCTCACAGGGCGGGCGCGAGGGCGCCCCGAGGTGCCCCGGGCACAGCTGTGGACTGGGCGGCGCTGAGTGTGAACCTCGGCTCCGGAGAATTCCCTCCCCTCGCTCGCTCTGCGCACCTGGTCCCGCA